CTCACCACCGCCTCGGGTCCCACCTCACCTTCGGGAACCTCTCCTTGTAGACATGATTCATCATCACGATCTCGTTGTCGTAGGAGGAGGGGGAGCGCCCGGGGCTGCGGGGAGAGAAGCCCATTCTGTCCAGTCCTCTGCCTCCAAGCCCGCAGAGAGCCCTCGCCCCAAGATGTAACCCTTTTATTCGCGGGGACAGGGGTCTCTCTATGCACAAGTCCTAAGACCTGCCCACCTGAGGCTCCGTGAGCGGGGACGCACGGCTGGGGAGCGACGGCCACCATCCTCGTCTGTGATGCTCTCGGTGCTCCCGAAGTGTTTGGAGAGGAAGTGGAGCTCGTCCACCGTGGGCTGGTAGGGCAGCTGGTGCAGGCGCTCCTGGGAGGAGCAGGAGGACTGGGGAGAGGGGCAGGGCCGGGGTCAGAGCCACCATGGGCCCCCCAACAGCTCAGGATCTTGAGCTGGGACTCCCAAGGCTGATGGGGTCACTGGGCAAGGCCAGGATCAGGACCTGATTTACCATCCTTGGATCCTAGGGTCTTGACTGGGATTCTTGGCCACACACAGGTGGACAGGGACAGACAGGGGTGGAGACAGTGATTCTGTTAAAGCTTGGGTCAATTCATGAGCCTTCTCTGTTCAGAACCCTCCGTGGCTCCCACCTTACTCAGGGTGAACCCCCAAGTCCTTCCCCAGTTATACAAGGTCCTGCCTCATCCCGCCCTGTGTCCCTGCCATGGGTTTTTTATCAGTCTCCTGCTTACTTCCTTTGCTCCAGCTACAGTGGCCTCCTTTTTTTTTTTTTTTTTTTATTGCAGTTTCGCTGTTGTTGCCTAGGTTGGAGTGTGATCTCAGCTCACTGCAACCTCCGCCTCCCGCGTTCAAGCGGTTCTCCTGACTCAGCCTCCTGAGTAGCTGGGAATACAGGTCCCTGTCACCATCCCCGGCTAATTTTTTGTATTTTTAGTAGAGACAGTGTTTCACCATGTTGGCCAGGCTGGTCTTGAACTCCTGACCTCAGGTGATCCACCAAAGTGCTGGGATTACAGGCGCAAGCCACCACGCCCAGCCTAGTGGCCTCATTGATGGTCCTTGGACAAGCCAGGCAACCTCCTTCCTCAGGTCCTTTGCACTAGCTATTCCTTCTGCTTGGAACACATCAACTATGGATCCCTCCTTGTTATCCTTCAAATCTTTGCTTCAATGTCACACCTTAGGAAGACCTCCTCTGAACACACACCCATTCTTCCCGATCCCTACCCTATCTTGTTTCCTCTTGCTTTATTATTATTATTATTATTATTATTATTATTATTATTATTTTAGAGAGAGGGTCTCCACTGAATATGGTGACTCACACCTGTAATCCCAGCATTTTGGGAGGTGAAGGCGGGAGGATCACTTGATCCCAGGAGTTGGCAACATAATGAAACCTTGTCTCTGTTTATTAAAATTATTTCAAATT